CTAGGCTAGACATTTGACTTGTTTATAATATTTTTCCATTTCAAAGAATGTTTCTTCTGGTGTTACTAAAATGTGTCTGCCGAGTAAATTCCTTGAAGTAAGAATGCTGGGCCTAAGGGCAGGGTAGGAGTATATGTGTTTTAGATACTGCCAAATTCCCATTTACAGGAGTTGTACCATTTAATATTTGTACCCGCAGTGTATGAGAGTATTAGAATATTCTCAAATACTGCTTTTTGTGCATAATTTTCCAGTTAACATCAATTCAATAACTTTATTTCTATTTATCATTCACTTTCACTTGATTTAAAAAAGGTATTTTAATGCATAAGAAGGGACATATGTGAGAGGGGACAGACAAGGATAAAAACAACTCTGGATTTAAACTGAATTTACATACTGTGGCATTTCTTCCTCATGAAGACAAATCATGTCTACCACATACTCAGAGATTTTTTAAAGAAATGCAAATCTTATCCTTTTACTTGAAGTACTTAACAGTTTTTAACATCTCAGGTCTGTACGTGTGTTCTTGGGGTGAGGTGGGTAATTGAGGTGTTGAGCCACACCCAGCAGTGCTTAGGGCCTTGTTCCCACTCTGTGCTTTGGAGGGTTAAGGGATGTTGTAGTGCTGTGGCCAAGAAATGTCTTGCCCCTGTACTATCTTTGTAGCCCCATCTTCTCAGATTTTAACTTGGCTTTCTCATAGCCTTAAGACTTTATAACTCTACCCTCTTGTACTTTGTTTAATATCCCCTTTCAGTAGATCAAATTCTCTCCCACAAGGCCTTTGCATATGCTGCTTGTCTTACCACTATACAAAAGAAATAGGCAAGTTAGAAAAAGAAATTTTTTAACCCGGCTATACCTTGTTATGTGACCTTATGCAAATCAGTCTTTGGTTCTTTAGTTTCTTCAATGTTCATTCTATACTTTTTAACTATATCTTCGCTGTAAAGTATATAATGCCTATTTATTTTTTCCTTCTTTTTGGATCACGCGGTGGTACTCAGGGCTTACTCCTGGCGCTATACTCAGGGATCACTCAAGGTAACTTCTAGCAGTGCTGGGCAATCATATGGGATGTTGTGGATCAAATATGAATCTGCTGCATTCAAGTAAAGTGCCCTATCCGCTATACTATTGCTCTGGCTCTATCATTTTTTTTTCACATGTAGAGGAGCCTCCAATTAGTGTGCAGGGCTCCTGGGGACCATGTCTGGTAATACTTAGTTAACAGTGTATCAATGGTTGATGCTAGGTTGAGTTCAACATTAGGACCCAGTGAATTAATACAGCACAGGCCCAGTGGTGCTAGGGGCTGGCAAGGCTCCCAGTGATGCTCAGTGCTGTTTGGTTCCTGGAGTCAAATCAGGTCCTTGTGCATTCAAGGGAATGTGCCTTTGACTCCAGAGGAATCTTCTGACCGTTTTGTTTTTTTTTTTCATCTTAACATTTAAAAAGGGTAAAGGCCCTGCCGTTGATCATCGATTTGCTCGAGCGGGCCCAGTAACGCCTCCATTGGAGACTTTGTTGTTACTGTGTTTGGCATATCGAATACGTCATGGGGAGCTTGCCGGGCTCTCCGAGAGGGGCGGAGGAATCGAACTCGGGTCGGCCATGTTGGCTGCATGCAAGGCAAATGCCCTACCGCTGTGCTATCGCTCCTTTACTTATACAATTGGTTGAATCTATAGGCATAAAACATTTTTTTTTTAGAAAATGTTCAAGCCATCTTTATTGATTTATTTGTAACAGGAATCTTTGGTAAGAATTTAGTCTTTTCCTAGATTTCCAAAACACTTGCCTGTCTGTAAGAACAGTTACGAAAAAGCATAGCTTAAAAAACTCACCAAAGAATACACAGGACCACCTAGGACTTCTAGGCACAGTCTGCTATTAACCCACAACAGCCATGGAGGGCAAGGGATCAAACCCATCAAGGGAGATGAAGGAGAGACTTGGGAAAGTACAGGGAGCCCCCTTTTTTTATTTGGATTGACAGAACTCTCCACTGGTGGCATTAAGACGAAGAAAGCATATACTTTAATAATATATAAAATACTTAAGGGATCCTTGAAAGGAACATATGATTGTTTTCTCTGCTCTCTACAAGGTACTTTCTTCATGAAATAAAGCAAGTTTTTAGTTCTTTGTTTCTGGATTCTCTTTTTGCCACTGCTTTTTTTTTTTTCCCACCCTCTGGAGGTGTGGACAGACACGTCCTGTGCTCAGGGCTTACTAATGGCTCATACTCAGGAATTACTCCTGGTGGTGCTCGGGGGACCATGTGGATGCCAGGGATCAAACCTTGGTCAGTTAATGTGCAAGGCAGCACCCTTTACTGTCCTGTTAATCCAGCCTCCAGCACTGCTTTTGTAACAGTTTTATACATCAAGGAAACACATGGATCATCGTTTTGTAATCTTTTAAAGAGTTATTAGAAAAATCTTTTTTTCAGAGAGGGAAGACTTATGAGTTCCCTGGGGTTCATTTCATTTTCTCATTTTATTGCTCTATTTGGTTGCCTCTGACGTATTGCCTATTTAGTTTATATTCTTTGTACTTTCATAATTCAGCTGTGGAAAATGGGTTGCATTTATCAGGTAAAATAACATAAAATAAACAGAAATTTGAGAATTAGTGATTTTAGAAGTATGTTTATATTGATCACTGGAAAATCTTGCTCATTAAACATTCTGGTTTATTTAAATGTTTGTGAGGTCATGAAATTTACCTCAGCCGCAGAGCACCTGCATTATTTGTGTGAGTTTTAAGTTTAATCTCCAGCTCTGGGGTGGGGAAAGTTGGTATGTTTTGTGTCATTAAATTTATCCTTAAACTTATCAATAAGTCATTGAGTTTATTCTTAAGTCCTTTTCAGTTCAGATTTTATTTCTAAGAAGTCATACTATAATCGGATATTTTGGTTTCTAGACCAGTGCAAAAGAGCTTTTTAAAAAGTCTACAAAAGAATTATCTTAGATTGACCCCTTAATATTCAGTTAATGCAGTATTCTATATAAAAATTATTCAGAACTAAGTATACCAGGTCACATCTTATCTCATTTGTGATTTTGGGTGCTGGATTAATTTATAGGCTTGTAAAAATTTGGTTGCTAGAAAATAGTACAGATTCTGCTAGGCAATAGTAACTTAATATTTTGCAAACCACAGCACCCGAAAGGAGAGAGAGAGTTTTCCTTGCCACAGAAGCAGGGTGGGATGGTGGGTGGTGGAGGGGTATGGGTTCTATGGTGGTGGGAAATGGGCACTGGTGAAGGGATGAGTACTCGATCATTGTATAACTGAAACTCAAGCACAAAAATTTGTAAGTCTACAAGTGTACCTCATGGTGTTTCACTAATAAAAATTTTTAAAAAGTAATGTAATAAAACAAGATAAAACAATAAAATAAGATAAAAAAATAGTAACTTAATATATTTACAAAAGACTAGGTTCCTGGTTAATTGGGTCTAAAATCTGTAGAACTATTTTAAAAAAAAAAACAAGCAAACCACTGTTTCTTCAGAGTTTTCCTTGCAACATAACATTCATAGATTATATGTTTCTCAGTTGTTGGGCAAATGAAGTTTACTGATAATGCATTTTAAAATTTTCAATTCCTTAATTTAATGACTAATTTTGAATGCCAGCATATCTCAAATTTACTTCAGTATTTGGAACATGTGGTATAAAGTAGAAACTCAATAAAGAACTGTCCTGAATTTTTAAAAAGCTTTTTCTGTGGCTGTATTATGTGCAGTTCAGTGTATTTTCTTTTTTTATTATGAGCTAGACAGTTGGTCAGTACTGACATTTTCTGAGTTCCTAACTAATCATTATGATTCTGGGAAAATGTTTATCTTACCCTCAAAAGTTTCTTTATTGGCAACTGTTCCTTTGAAGGGAATTAATGTGGAAATAAAGATTAATTAAAATCATCATCTTTCTTAATGAAGTTGTTAAAACAGCGCAGTTTTTGTCATGGAGAATTTAATACTACTACTTTAAAGTAATAAAAAAAAATCTTTCAGTTCTATTAATCATGGTTTTCTGGGGACGAGAAAATAGAAGACCTTCAGAGTAAATAATTTAACTTAAAATTCAACACTAACAAAAGAAAGTTTAGTATTAATCTGTTCTTGTATTTAAGTTTTACCCAGCATTTGAAATTATGAGAAAACCATAACTTGGCTTTTATGCTTGATTTTGTAAAGAATCTTATAAAACTTTTAATCCATCTTTCTTTGAGTAGAGGTCAATTAAAAATTCCCTCGGGAGCAGAGTAATAATAACTGATGACTAGTCTGCTTTTATTTTTAATAACCTGTACTTTGAAATCTTGCTGACATGTCTTTAAACCAAGAAAAACTCGGAAGAATCTGTTACAGTCAACTCCCCTCTTTCTTCCAGGCCATTAACTTTTTCATTAACTTGTAATTTTTTCATTCTGAATTGCACATTTAGATTACTAAATGTATGTTTTCTGAAAATTAATATCAAATAAATACTTAGGGTAAATTAATAAAAAGAGACATGTTTACTTTTCTTAGGTTGTTAAGTGCAAGGCTATGCTTAATTTTAATTTCATTAGGTTTTTCCTTTTAAGTATTTATTTTGCTTTAGGTTTAGCTAAAGGAAACTGATTCCCTGATGAAAATTCTTCACTGTTATCTTACTGGAAATGGATTTACTTTTCTAACAACTTATGATTTGAGATCATTGCAGCCCAAACCAGGAGAACAGGGACCAAATTCAAATTGATTCAAAATTCAATTTTGTTCAAAGTTTGTTTTTAGGACTTGTAAGAGTAAGATGTAAAAATCAGGTAGCATTTTCTTTAATTTCTTATAGAGACAAAATCTTTCATGTTGTCTGTAACTCCTCAGGATCCTTATTGTCTTTATTCTACAGTAGCTTACGTTTTTATCTTATTTTTTCCCAAAGATATTTAAAATGCTTACCAATTATTTCAAATTGCTCTCCTTCCTCAATTGTGTTCTTATAGTTTTTAAAATGTGGCTAGTAATTTCAACTGGAATTAAATTTAAAATCTGATATATAGTGAATAAAATATTAGTTATTACAAACTTAAAATATTTGTAAGTTACTTAGTCTAAAATTAAGTTCAATAAAGTACAGATAGTCACCACATGATTTAAATCAGTCACTTATAGACTGAACAATTTTTAGAGGTTCTTTTTTAATGAAGAGGAAGATACAAATCAAATTATTCAAAAATAAAATGGGATATATACAACAGTAGAATACATTTTAATGCTTAACGTGTGGAGAAATAGTTGTCCAAGAAAATACTTTTCACAGTTGAAGAAATGTGGAAGTCTGTCCCAGTGGAATCCCAGTGCTTTTATTTTAGGCAGCTTATATCGTAGATTCATTGTCAAATATCTTACTTTTTAAAGTCTGTAGGCTATGTTGAATAAAGCTCTCTGTGCCTTGAACTTCAGAGAATCTAGAGTCACTTCTCCTAGAAGACCAGCTTTTCATTTTTATTGAATTCTGAATTGCATCCGAGGTGAAGTAGTAAACTATAGGGTCAAAGCAACAGTTTAAAACAGCAATGCAGAGAGTGATTGGGTACATAGTCCGTACTGCTTTGGCTGCTGAACAATTAACAAATGTCTGTGTTCTCATAAGAGAATATAAAATAAGATTTATGTTGTAAGGCACAAAACAGAAGCAGAATATCACCAAGTGTACAAAAATCATTCTTAAAACTTTTGTTTTGTTTATTTTGCTTCTACTTAATGTAACAGGTTTTCTTAAAGTCCTTAGCACCATACTAGAACAAGTTACATTTAAAATCAAAGGAATAAAAAATCCCACTATTTCGATGAAAATCACAATCCTTGAGAGATATGTTTTCCATGTGTGATCTGGAAAATTTTCAAAACAGGCTTTTGAGGTATTGTTTTCCTGAGGGTTGGTAGATCGAAAAAAAACTGCTGGGGCACTTCCTCCCACCACAGTTAACCACACAGCAATGCAAACAATTTTTGCATTTCGTTTTGTTCTTAGAGTCTTTGACTTAAATGGGTAAACGATTGCCAGAAATCTGTCCACACTAATACAAGTTAAAAACAGAATGCTTCCGTACATGTTGGTGTAAAATAGCATCACTGAAATTTTACAGAGCAAATCTCCAAACGGCCAATTTCGTGTTGTAAAGTAAAAAATCCTGAAGGGTAAAGTAAAAACAAAAAGCAAATCTGACATTGCCAAGTTAATCATGTAGGTTGTAGTTTCATTTCGTACTTTGAGGGTACAGACAAAAATGTATATGGCAACACAGTTGGATATTAACCCAAGCACAAACACCATACTAAACATGCACCCGTACAAAGTATACTTAAAGGAGTCATCAAAGCAGTTGGTGCTGTTATTGCTTACCATTATAAAGGCACGACCAATTTACAATGTTAAAGTCCTTCCAGGCAGCTGTAGTTTTTTTGTAAGTATTCAGATCGTGACCACTTTATAACCTCCAATGTATTTGCAATTTCCTTGGGTCTTTGGATGGTTTTATAAGTATTTCCTCCAAATTCTTCAAAAGAAGCATGGAATTTGTTGCTGTAGAGTTTCCACGTACTTCTTCAGTAGGAAAATATTCTCATTTCCTAGTCTTCAGAAAGATCCTTGAATTTAGGGCTGAGTTAACTGAAGAGCAATCTTTAAAAAAAAAAAAGTCCAGTCAGTGAAGCGAACCCATTAGATTTTAAATTTAAAGGAAAACTTTCTGAGATGGTAGTAAAACTACTTGTCCGGAATTTCAGTAGTTAAGATGAATATTCCTCAGTTAAGGTTTCTTTACATTGCAGAATGTTGAAGATAAAACTTGCTTTTCCATGCAGAGTTTCACAGATTCAAGTATCACCAACTTGCTTTCATTTCTTCCTGTTCCTTTTAATGTAGTTTCCCGTTTTGATATTCTTGCAGTGGATCCCAGATGGTGGTAAGAAGTCTTTTAAAGATTCAGGAATAAATTCCTAAGCATGTTAGTGCTTGCTGAAGGGAGACCTTCTCTTTCTTCGGTGGCGGTGGCGGTATAGTGAGATGGGCTTTCTCTGAAAAGAAAAGGCTTGCTAAGATTTGTAATGTGACGTCACAGGAAGAAGAGGCTGGGCTTGGACAAAGAAAGGTTTCAGCCCAGTTTGTTTGCAGTTCCTTTAATCTGATAATGTGTCTGCTGTGAATATACCTAGGAGACTTGCAAATGGTCACTGACTTGTTTATAGCTGAGCTATCTGCCCCTTTAACAATTTAAGTGGAAAGGCTTTCTGGACTTTTGGCCATTTCACAGCAACTTTTTTTTTTCTTTTTTCTTTTCTTTCCTTTCTCTTTCTGTAAGGAATGAAAAATCTCTTCCGATTGATTGCCTTTGTGTTTGCAACATAATTTTTAATTGAATGCATTCATGTGCATTTAAAAATTCAAACTGTTTCATTAATAAAAAATTTTTTTAAAAATTCAAATTGTTATTGATAAAGTAGCATCCAGGAATGCATTTTAATAATAGTGAAGAGAGAATTTAAATTTTTTAAAGAGGATTTTTATTTATTTTGCTTTTTGGGTCATACCCGATGAGGCTCAGGGGTTATTTCTGTCTCTGGTGGTGCTCGGGGGACCATATGGGATACAGGGAATCGAACTCCGGTTGGCCGCATGGAAGGCAAACGCCCTACCCGCTGTGCTATGGCTCCAGCCCCGAGAATTTAAAATTTTAAGATATAAATAGAATTTTACTGAGAAACCCAGTAGATTCACTCTTCTTGGCTTCAGTTTTCTGTTATGCTCCTCAGTATTTAATTGATATGATTTTTAATGACGAATTCTAGATCTCTCTACAGATAACCATTTTTTCTTGTGTCCTTTCCACTTCCTTTAAAATTGAATTCATACTATAGAACACTTTAGGTTTATAAAGTTACTATCTTAGTGAACAGTAAGTTAAAAAATGTTTCTATTTGATATGCTGTATTAATCTTAACTTCCTATGCACAGAAGGAAACAAATTTTTTTCTATATTAAAATATGGGGGAATAAATATATGGCTAAATTTTAGCTGCATAATTTAATTTTTCCCTTCTTTAGTATGAGTCAGACTATATATTAGAATATAGTTTAGACTTTTTCTTCATTATAAACTTATTAGTTTAGTGGTCACTTTGTGATACAGTATACTGATTTTTTAAATCCAAACAAATTGAAAAATAGGCATATGTGTGGGATATAGTCAAATATAAATTTATTTTCTTAAGCAAATACAAAAAAAATCTGCTACATGTTTTCCTTATTTAAATTTTCATTGGGGCTGGAGAAGTAGTGGGTAGATTGCCTGCCTTGCATGTGGCTGACCATCTTTTAGTACCCACCACCCATATGGTCTCATATGGACCCTCAAACATGACCAAGAGTAATTCCTAAGTGCAAAGCCTGGAATAACTCCAAGCATTGTCAGCTGTGGCCCCCAAACAAACAAAAATAAAGAAATAAATTATCGTTATTTAGAAGGGGCCAGTCTTTTGTTTTGATATTATTAGTAATACTAAAACTCATCCTTTTAGTATCATTTAAGGAAATGGGGGAACTTCAGGAACAGTTTTTTCTTCGTTACGTGCTTGTCCAATTTAAAAGAAATATGTTTAACTTAAAAGTTATTTCATTTTAAAACATTTTAATTTTAAAATTTTGGGATGCTTTTGTACTATTTTAATTGAGCTACTCACCCATTTTTTTTGTTGAAATTCCCTTATATTGTAATCTATATTCATTATTTTGACTACAAAATTTATAGATAAGTGATATGAAAGGGCTGGAGCGATAGCACAGTGGGTAGGGCATTTGCCTTGCAAGCAGCCAACATGGCCGACCCGAGTTTGATTCCTCCGCCCCTCTCGGAGAGCCCGCCAAGCTACCGAGAGTTATCTTGCCCGCACGGCAAAGCCTGGCAAGTTCCCCATGATGTATTCGATATGCCAAACATAGTAACAACAAAGTCTCATGACAGAGACTTTACTGGGCCCGCTCAAGAAAATCGATGAACGACGGGGTGACAGTGACAGTGATATGAAAAATATTAGTGTTATTTATAATCAGTATACTTGAGTTTTTGTTTTATTTTATGAACAAATGTATATACTACATTAAATTTATTATTGTATTACAAGGGATCAAACCCAAGTCTTCTACACATAAGGCACATGGGCAGATATGATGATGAGAAAAATGCAATTATTTTTGAAAGGCAATAAAAGAATACCACTATACCACATCCTGGCCCTTAAAATTTAAAGGTGTGAATTTCTTAATTTCATATGTTTATGGGAAAAATTATGGGTGTGTCTATATTAAAAGATAGATGGAAACCAAGTAAACTGACTTTTTTCAAAAAATAGTTTTTGGGGGATGGATAGTATGGCAGGTGGGGCATTTGCCTTGCACGTAGCCAACCCAGGTTCGATTCCCAGCATCCCATATGGTTCCCCAAGTACCACCAGAAGTAATTCCTGAGTGCAGAGACAGAAGTATTCCCTGAGCATCGCCGGGTGTGACCCAAAAAACACTGCACTTTAGCACTGTCCTCCCGTTGTTCATCAGTTTGCTCAAGTGGACACCAGTAATGTCTTGCAAAGAATTGTGAGACTTGTTACTGTTTTTGGCATATTGAATATGTCATGGGTAGCTTGCTAGGCTTTGCCGTGCAGGTGAAATGCTCTCGGGAGCTTGCCGAGCTCTCTGGGAGGGGCAGAGGAATCGAACCTGGGTCGGCTGCATGCAAGGCAAATGTCCTACCAGCTGTGCTATCACTCCAACCCACCCAAAAAACAAAAAACAGGGGCTGGAGCAATAGCACAGCGGGTAGGGTATTTGCCTTGCACGCAGCTGACCTGGGTTCGATTCCTGGCATCCCATATGGTCCCCTGAGCACTGCCAGGAGTAATTCCTGAGTGCATGAACCAGGAGTAACTCCTGTGCATCGCCGATGTGACTCAAAAAGCAAAAAAAAAAAAAATTTTTTTTTTAAGTAACTTATATTATTACTGGAGACTTTTTATAGTGCTTTAGTAATATATTTTCAAATTGGTAATCTCTAGTTATCATTAAATAATTATAAAGTGTTTTATACTTTGACCTTTTCTATTTCTGCTTTCACGTTGTAGAAATTGACATTTTCCAATGTGACATTTTCCAAACAATATTTGAAATGCATTAATTTCACATGAGAACATTCCCCCGCCAACTCGAATAAATTAAAAAACTAAAAATTCCCAAATTACTAGTGTTCACTTAAATTTTCTTTTATAAGTTAAATTTCAGTTATGTGACTGATACCTCATTTTATTTATTTTAATTTGTTTTGTTGTGGGGCCATGCCCAACAGTGCCCAGGGTTTATTCCTGGCTTTGTTCTCAGGATCACTCCTGGAGGTGCTTGGGGGGCCATTTGGGGTGCCAGGGATTGAATCTGGGTCCACTGCCTGAAAGGCAAAGCTCTGCCCACTGTACTGTTTCTCCGGCCCCTGTTTCATTTTTAATTTTAGTTTGCAGTCACACGCAACTGTGCTTAGGACTTACTTCTGGCTCTATTCTTAGGGATATCTCCTATTGGGACTCTGGGGACCATATGGAGTGCTGAGGATCAAACCTGGGTTGGCTGCATTGCAAGACAAGCACCTTAATCCCTGTACTGTCTCTCTAGTCCCAACACTGCAACTTTTACATAGAAGCAAAATGCATAGAATCAGATTTGAATTTTATTTTATTTCTTAGCTCTCTTATGTTTCTCTCATCATTAATAATCAATTGGAACTTCCTTGTAAATTTTCTTGTCAATTTAAGTAACACTTAAAAATTGAGATTAAACACTGTAGTGCTTTGTATAAAAATAATTCTATCAACATATTTTCTTAAATGTTGTGTCAGGTATTCTTTGGCATTATACATGAGAAGAAAATAAACATTGGCCCTACCCGTCATTAAGTGAACTTTTGGTATAAATACGTATTTTTTATATATTTTTAAATTCAAGTGAAGTGAGTACATATATCATTTTTAAATGATTTCCTGCTTAGCTTTTGTGATTGACTAACTGGGTGTCACTCTCATCAAATAAGAAAATTTCTATTTCATCAATAGTCATCTGGGAAATGTTATTGTAAAACTATTCAATTTTAAAAAGAGGTATAAAATATCTTCAGAATAAATGTAATAAAATGACAGGACTGCATAAATGCAGAAGAATCAAGAGTGTGAAAGAATACATGATTATATGATATGTAGTTTTCCTGGGACAAATCTATAAATTTAGTGCCATTTCAGAAAAAACCTAATAGATTTTCTAGAAAGAATAAAGGGAGCATTTTATTTTTTAATACTGTTTCTTTATAAGTTTATTAATAATTGGGCTGGAGTGATAGCTTAGCGGGAAGGGCGTCTGCCTTGTGCGCAGCCTACCCGGCTGACCCGGGTTCGATTCCTCCGCCCCTCTTGGAAAGCCCGGCAAGCTACCGAGAGTATCTCGCCCACAAGGCAAAGCCTGGCAAGCTCCCCGTGTCGTATTCAATATGCCAAACACAGTAACAACAAGTCTCAAAATGGAGACATCACTGGGCCCGCTCGAGCAAATTAATGAGCAGCGGGAGGACAGTGACAGCGATTAATAATTATCTTCTCTTCTCATTTGTGTTCCTGTCACTATCACTTGTTTCTTCACATCCTCACTAAACCAGGTTGTTTTCAAATTTCTCAAATATTTCCTAAAATAAGGTTTAAAGAGGTATTATTTAATTTGTACTTTTTTATTTAATTGAGTTTTTCAAAAATAAGTGGGGAAAAGTATGGAAAATTCAGTACACAATACTGGGTTATTAGGGTAACAGTTTAAAATAAAAGTAAACGTTAATTTAATATTTATATCAAAATAAGCCCTAGCCAGGTCTATAATTTAATATTAAAACAGACTATATAGATTTTTGCAGAAATTGAGTGCACTTAAAATTGCAGTGAGTTCTAAAGGTTTTCTACGTATTTGAAG